TAACAGTATATATGTGCACTACTACTCTACCAATTTCACGTTTTCTGTATGATGATATGTTCTTGTATCATCGACCTGTATGTCGAAGCCCAAGTTATACAGTTCACAGAATGCCATTAATTAATTATTTGCCGTCAATTAATAGATTTGTACATACGACCGTGTTTCATTTAAATAAAAACCTTGGATGAGTCAAATTTTTTTTTATGTCGCTCTAAGAATACGTTTAAACGTTTTCATTATTCTTATATTTTACAACTTACATTACAATTAATTATATTTATTAATTATAAAATAAATAATATAATAATAATATAAACTAAACAAAATCAGAGGAAATAATTAAATTCTCGATAATTTATCATAAAATAAATCGTTGAATGTTATGAGTCTTGTGTTACGGCATTGGAGTATTTCAAAGGTGTCCTTTGAGGTGGCGCTAGTATGATTTTGAGCAGATTTACAACAGGTGCCTCGAATGTCAGTGAAATGAAAAATGATATTATGAAAGAAGCTACGGCATTTCCAAAGTATAAGATGAGCTGAAAAACAAACTTTTCATATGGTTAAATATACAATTTTAATAAAAAATCTAATACGTCTTATTTTATTATAGAACAAGGAAAAAACCTTTTTCTGGGAAAACTACTTATCGTGCTCGGATGTTCAACATTTTTTTTTTTTCAATGAAAGTACTCGGTCACGAGACTCCGGGAAAGTTATTGTGGAAGGTCGGAAAATTTTAGCCAGTGTTATAAAATTTCTACCGTTTTTGAGAAAAACACTCGCTGACGCCGCCAGCGTCTTTCGATTGAAGGTTTGAAATTTTCATTAGACCCATTCAATAACATTTCTGAGATATCATAAAAAAAATCAACTCAATCCGTTTATTTTTCATCATTTTGCGACCTATTTTTTGTTAGCTTCGATGCGAAGCTGAGAAGGTATTAATTTTACTATGATGTTTTTTTTTGTGTCTGTTACCACTTTTTCTCAGCTCTCACTGAACCGATATATTTATTCTTTAAGAAATTGAGTGGGTTATGATAAAAAAAATCACTCTGTATACCTTTTATACGACATACTTTTTTTTAAATCTAGTAATTTCCTTTTATACAGGGGGCGTTAATAAGAGTATAAATTTTGTTTTTATATTGAATTCCACAGTAATATATTATCACTAAAATTAAATATTATTTAATGATCTTATACTTTAATAAACCAAATTTTTCAATTTTATTTCAAGTCTGATTTTAGAAAATTTTAACACAAAAATAGCACATTTTTAACTACAGTAGCCATTTGCTCGCAGAAGATAAGTCGTCCAGAAAAAATTTTTTTTTGTACTTATAGTACATAACATTAGCTTTATTTTAGCATATGTTTGAATCTCGGAGTATTTCGGGACATTTTCAAAACTTAAGTTGAAAAATTAAAATTTTTGTACAGAAGTTGCTATTTTGAATCCCTCCCCGTGAGCAGATAAAGTGTTATATTTTCAAAAAATTTATATCAAATGAAAGAAAAATATCTATAGTTTCAATACAAAGAAAAAATTATTTTGATTTGTTCATTTTTCAATAAGTTATGGTAAATTTTAGAAAAAATGTTGAAATTTACCGATTTTAAAAATCGTAGTTTTTGGGGAATTTTTACCATTTACGGCGAACAAAGGAACAATTTTCAATTTTTGAGGGTAACGTCTTTATTTAGATGCAATTTGTAGTATTTTGACGTATCGTTGTAAACAATTGGTCCAGTAAAAGCTGAAAATAAGTAGTGACACAACAGACACACATAAAAAAAATTATCATTGTAAAATTAATACCTTCTCAGTTTCGCATAAGAACTAAAAATTATGATAGTTTTAAGCAAAAAAGTTTTGAAAAATGTCGATATTTACAAATTGCAAATTAGTTGGCTGATTATACTGGTAGAACAATCGTGGGTTTTTTTTTACTATTGTAGTACATTTCAATAACTTTAATATGACATGAATTATATCTTGTCATATGTTCCCGAACATTTTAAAACTAATATTTCTTCTTCCTTTTGGTCGCTAAAGTCCATTTCAGTGTTTTCTGGGACATGTGTTTGCTGTTTACATTTTTTAAAAAACATATATTTTGTGATATAACCACAATAGAACTTCTTTTCTACATTGATTGCTGTGGAGGATTANACATGTGTTTGCTGTTTACATTTTTTAAAAAACATATATTTTGTGATATAACCACAATAGAACTTCTTTTCTACATTGATTGAACCCAACCCAACCCAACCTTGAAGTGACTCTATATGTTTTCTTTTATTTTTAATACGCCCCAGTTTCAGAGTCATTTGCTAACCCTTATTTACTTACCTCAAAAAAGTTACATTTCAATATCAAGAAGAGACTTATAAAAACATATGTATGGAGTGTCGCAACATATGGATGTGAAACTTATGTAATAAATGATAGGGTAAAAAATAGAAGCCTTCGAGATGTGGTGTGGAGACGTATGGAAAGGATAAATTTGATAGAATGGAAAGCAAATAAAAAAGAACTTAGAACTGTGGGAGAAATATGCTCATACATAGAAGCGATCAAAGCAAGACGATGGAAAATAGTTGGACATGCCCTAAGACACCCAGAAAAGTTTCATAATATAATATTAGAGGGTATGATAGAAGGAAAGAAAACTGCAGGACGTCCCCAAAAGTCTTATATAGGACCAATTAAATGCGATGCAAAAGTCAAAATCTTTAAGAAACTTAAATAACCTGTTAGAATAGATAATTGGAGTTGTAAACTAACCTTCGAGTTGATAAAAAAATCGGTCAAAAATAAAAATTTTAAATAATACGCCAATAAATAAAAAAAACTCAAAATATATAATTACATGTAACATAATATTTTATAATAGGATTTCAATATCACAATTTAAATTTGTATCGATCTAGCAATTTTTTTATTCAATCAGTAAAATTATGCAAATGCATGAACTTCCGAGCCCTAAAAATTATTGTTGAAAAGTGTTTTTCCATCTAACACTATTATAATATTACTCAATACATATATATTAATACATTTTATTTCTAACCTTACATAGATAGGTAACATTCTTCTTCTTTCTTCATCGCCTTAATCCCAACTATTTGGGGTCAGCCACCCTTATCCTAAACTTCCACTTGACACGATCTCCCACATTCTCTACGCTCACATCAGCTGTCCTCATATCGCATTCAATAACATCTCTCCATCTCTTTTTTGGTTTTCCTCTACCTCTTCTCCCTTCAACATTCATTTCTACAACTGTTCTTACGGCTTAATAAAAATAAGGTTGACACAATATTTCAAGTGTGGCTCGAACATTTTTTTTTAGTTTTTGGAAATGGTGCACTACCAAGTTCAAAACTTATTTGCGCTAGTTCATCCAAACTAGTTAATAAAAATAATTTAAATTTGTACCCCCTTTAAGTTGACCTGAAGACATCCCTGATATTGTCGACATATATCAGCAATAATAAATATACTTAACTACACATACTTGCATGTATGTTTAATCACCTATTATACCTATCAGGCGCATGGTGAAGTTTTTTATGTATTAGCATATGTAGTTATGTCTATCGACGTGTATATATTTTTTACTTCATTTCTACGGTTAAATTAAAGCCATTTCAGGCTGTCTCAAAATGTGAGATTTTTAAACTGTTCATACTTGAAAATATTAGTTAATTTAATAGTATGTGTTGATTCAATGGGGATGGGAACATGTACCACTGCTCTTAGCCGGTCATGACTTTAGTTAGTTGGGACCGGTAGGCCTGGATATTCCTGCTTGCTAACAGCGAATAAGGCCCCTAACCCAGCCATACCAAATGAAAGGGTTACTAACTTGTCACAGGGTAGTTAGCCGAAAGTTAAAATGACCATTGGGATCCTCTATGGCACCTGATGCACCATAGAGTATACAGCCTTATCACAGTATCGAGCTCTGCTGTGATGGACCTTTATTTCTCGACGACTTGTGGAAACTATATGGATGCCTAAGACCCATAGAGGTACTTAATTTCGCTAAAAAGACAGGACTCTTTGGTCATCTACAGGGGATGAATTGATTGTACACCCTTATACAATGATAGGTATAATGTAGTAACAATTCGGTGATAACACTTAGGTGTGTAAACCTAATCAAGAAAATTCGGTATGAGGTATGCACAATGGACCAACAGATCTGAGTGCATGGGCATTATGTCCACCTCACTAATAACTAAAACTAAAACTAATAGTATGTTTTCGATATAAAATTTTACATCGTTTAAAAACTCTATATGTTAAAATCGAATTTTCATTAAAAAGAAACAAAATTTGTATAAAAAATTTATCTATTTTATTTATTAGTTTTAAACTATAGTAATATGTTACCTAGTAATTTTTATCAATTTTAATCAGCATAACCATTTTTACTCAAAAAGAGTAAAGGCATAAAAAATAATATCAATAATAACTAACAAATACCGTATAGCTTAAATATTTATTAATTATTGTATCACAAGACTATTATAATTTCAAAATATCACAATATATGCTTTACAATTATACAAAAATGCACATGTTTAAGTTTCAACCAAATCAATTAGTTTCATATAAAATTTTATCCAATATAACATAAGAAAATGTTAATATTAACGGTATTTATTAATTCATATAAATTTATTAATGTACAGTATAGAAAATTTTAAACGAAGATAGAGGTCTAGTTTATCAATGTAGGAGTACAACTTGGAAAAGAAATGGTTATAATTTTAACGTCACTAATACTCGATTTTTTTATTAATAATATATTACAACAATTAAATTCAATTGTTCAAGTCTATCAAGCCATTTTGTATTTTTTATAACAAATTAAACGCGCACATGACATTTGTAAAAATTATTATTGATTTATAAATGTATGCATAGAGTATTAATTATGTATACCTATTAATTAAAATAAAATTTATAAATAAACACAAAAAAAATCAATTATTATAATGGAGAATAGGTTTTTTATATATAATCATGATATTTTGTATTATTTATTATTGTTTATTATATAAAATGTACAGATTTTAAATAAACGATCATTTACAATATTTAACTAAACTTTAAGGTACACATTTATATATATACATCGATATCATACATGCATGTGAATATTATAAATCTCAAATTACTTAGGTTCTAATAATATTATTTCAGTCTTGTTCAAACATTAGTACAGTCAGCACAAATAACTAATTGGTAGGATTATGCGTCGAATTCAACGTCGATTTTCCTGAAACAGCATTTTGCTCTTGGCTGCTTTGGCCCTGTTGCTGTTCCTGATTAGATGAATTTGTATCACTCACTGTGTTAGACAGCTGTTTGCGAATATCCCGTATACTTTTCCTTATGGCTTGTGCCAGTGTCGACTGTATACCCGTACTGGTTGTAGTGACGGCACTGGAATTAGAGTTTCCTTTGTCGTACTCGTCTGTATTCAAAGTAATGGTACAAGTTTCAACCATCTGGCTCTCCAACATAAGTCTTTGCGGATCTAGTTTGATAGCATCGTCATAACTCGGGGGAACATCGACCACCGACGCATAATCTGGAGGTTTTTCATCAATTCGAACTGGTGGATCTATAGATATAACGTGAATATGATCAATGGACTCCTGTAAAATTGAAAAATATTATGATTATTAATTCCACAACTCTATAATACTCTTATGATCAACATTTAAAAGGTTTGAAAAAAAATATATTACACCGTGAAATATAAATAATTAAACTAACAAAACTTGTTTATTTAAGTGTAGTTTAGCTAACCTATACTTGACAAAATAAGTGAAATTATTATAGTATTGTCTTCCTAATTCATTCAACGAAATTACGAGATTTCCAAGGGTCATATCCGTCATGTGTGTTGTATTCTATCCATGACAAAAACAAATAATATATAGTAAAGATTTTTTTCGTTTGAAGGGTTAGAGAAAATTTTTTCAGTAAATAACTAATAACTTACAACGCCACTGTAACATAAGGATGGTTAAATTGTTCTTATATTTCTTTAGCAACGTTATGATGCCGATTAAGGACCTAATCATGATATTAATGCTATTACTCGAACCAATTCTAATAAAAAATATAATAAAGTACATAATATTATTATGAGTTTGAGAGTCGATTGCAGAAAAAAAAGAAAAGTGATAAAAGTACTAAATAAATAAGTCTAAAAATAAAGAAATAAGATTTTATAAAAATTTGTTGTTAACAGTAACTTACACAAAATATTATTATCAATTAGGTCATCGACCTTCACTTTATCATATAACTAAGTATTATAATGTTTATTTCATAAATAAACTAACGAACATTTTTAAAAATTAATGTTCATTTTAATAAAATGTAAGGAAGATCACGTATTATATACTTCTTATGCAATATTAAACTAGTTATCAGATGATAAATAAAATATTCACCGTGAATAGTATGTTTATATAAATAAATAGTATTGATTTATATAAATAATATCCCAATTAATTATAAGCCTTTATAATAATTTATTTTACAATCCTTTTGCTTAAGTCATAATTGGTAAGTACTATAAATAAATTAAATCAGTTAAGATGAAGGCTGGATAAAGTTAAACATTTTAAATAGCCTTATGATAATCAACTTACTTATCTAACAATTAAAATATGTATTTTTCAATTAACCTTCGATCATTTAAAAGTAGCCACTATTACTAAAGAGGTAAAATATAAAAGTAATACTTTGAATTAAAATTATGTACGTATTGTTAATTTTCTCATCACAATCATAATACATTAAATGACAAATATCTAGATATTACAAAAAATCATTTTAATTAAAAGTATTAGTTAGGCATACTACTATTATTACTTTTTAAGTTGTTATAATTTATTTTAGGCGACGGGGTGAAGAACGTTAAAGAATTCTTATCTGTGCGATATTATAAAAAGAGAATTGCTAAACACTACCCCGCTCCTTATTTTTTTTTAAAATCACAAAAGCTTATATTTCTGAAAGTAATAATACAAAACCAGAAATGACTAGTGATAAAATTTTTTAATAACTTCTAAAATAATGATTTAAAAGTTGTTTTCAGTAATTTTTTATTTTATAAGCTAGTTAAATATCTGTATTGCCATTTAAAACAATTAAATTGACACCCTTAAAAGAGATGAAAATAAAAAATATTATATATAAGATAACTGTTATGCATATGAATAGATACACATAAAACTTACATGTCTGTGACAGAGGCAAATTAATTATTCAATTAATTTGTGAAATAAAATACCTCTATATTTTTTTTCGAAAAAAATAATTATTAAGATATCATTGCACTGAACTAAATTATATTCATTGTTAAGAGCATCTACCTTTTTAGAAACTTTATGAAAGACTATATTAAAAAATAAAGTAACTTTTAAAATAGTAATACTACCGTCGGGGTTACAAAAACATATAAAAATTCTTATCAATAGTAAAGGTTATTTGAAAAACATTGAATATAACAGGTTTTAGATTATTTAATGTATGTAAATCTTTTAGGTAAGTAAAGTGACTTAAAATTTTGAATTTATGTTTTTATTATGAATTTATGTATATTTGTTTTTTTGAAGATAATAATAGTATTATGAAATAATTTTAAAATATGGTATTTGTAATAAATTTACCATTGACCAATAGTCGTGAAAGCCATTAATAAATTTAGTCTATTTTATTATTCAAATGAAACAATACAAACTCTCAAATTTGTTGTTAATTACGTTTAAAATAATTAAATTAATAACATTTAAGAGAGCAGATAAAGCAATTCCTCCGATACTTTTTTCGGCCATATTTCAGGATAAAAGCATATTATGTACTCATCCAAAAATATATGATTCATATTTTTGAACATAAAACCTTTTCAAAATATTCATGTCAAATTACTATCAGCATGTTTTTTTTTTTAATTTTCTACACCTTGCATTTATAAGTGTCATTTCCTATCATTAAAAAGAATAATATATTTTCATTTATCACTGTCTCGTTGAAGTTACAAGTGAAAAAAAAAATGAAGAATTGGTCCGGCATAAAAGTTTTTAATCAACAAATAAAAATAAACCACGTCTTTGAGTTTGGAAAAAATCTCTTGTCAGAATGTGAAAGACGAATAAATTAATTTTAATTGTGTGATTATTAGTATGTAGTATACTGATTCTATAATTTTTCGAGAACACGATACGTTTATAACATGTATAATTATAAGAATATTAAAACAGTCAATTTATCCAACCAAATGGCAAAAATAGTGCAGTTTGATTTTGAATGTGTTTTGTAGTTCCCATTGCGCTAAAAATTATCTTTAAAACACATTTCTAAACTATTTATCAAGTGAAATTGTATAGACAGCTGTTATTGCGTAAAAATTAAATACCTCCAAAGAACAAAACGGTTGCAAAGCAAGAATAGCTATTGGGCAGTTATTACCAAAGCAATTGTTGTAATTAAGTGTCGTCTGAAACGAGTGTACGTGAGAATTTTTCTCTTCGAGAGCATAACTAATAAATAATTGCAATTACATTAAACTTACATCATCTTCTTCGTCCCGTACACTATTCATCCAAAAGCACATGGCCATACAAATAAGTACAGCACCAGAAGCGACAAGCCCAACGCCAATGTATCTGACGGCTGGTACAGGTTTGGTGTGATGATCGGCTAATCCGAGCCAGTTGAACAGCGCCCCTATACACACCAACGTCATACCGAACCGGTACGGCCTTTGCGATTCTTCAGGTACCACAAGAGCCATTGCTCGCCAATTTTCAATTATAGAGGCCGCGATTTTGGCTTAGGGGAACTAATTGATTTAGATCGTTGACTTACTAGATTGCAATAATATTTTTTCACCGATACAAAAGAGTTCAAACACTGAAATTAAAAAAAAAATGTTAATGCTGTAAATATATTCATTAAAGTACTTTTGAATTTTTAACTATAAAAGTAAACACACAAATAATAGAAATTTTCGAGAAAAAAAATTGTTTTTTGAGAAAATTAAATAACTTGATTACTTAATTAAAATGCATAATTATTTTCCACAAATTATGCACAAATATAAACATTATTTTAAGCAATTTTTTTCACCAACACAAAATTCCAAATATAAAAAAAAAAATCCTTTTTTTTATACATTTTTATTATTATTTTAAACGTCCTAATTTGTTCTCTGTATATATTTTAACATAAAACATTTTGAACCCATCTGATACGGTTGTTATTATCTTATCAAAATACGAAACAAACAACGTTTTGTTCATTAAGTATTTAGGTTGTAAAAATCATTACACACATCATTATAAGGATAAATGGACCTTATTGTTGAAAAACGTTTCCGTAAAACGTACATATAAACCTGTACTTGCTTTCATTTTTTTTCAAGTTGTCACAAATCCAATGGCGTTGGACGTTGCACTAGCCTATGTCACAGTCTTCTTGGTTGACTGAGTGCAGCGCTTCAATAACGATCACTATCTCGCGGCAAGGATCTTAAAAAACGTTATTGCGTTGAATACAAAAGTAAAATTACGAAAAGTATAGTTGACGAACTAGACTATCTACCATTGGAATTAAGATAAAATATAATCGTATGAATATTTTCAAAACTCATTGTGTGATTTTTCTAAGGAAATTTTGTAATAATGCGAAAAATTAATTTAAAACATTAATCGTTACATAATTCTTGTGTACATTTTTATTGCTCTACTTACGAGAAAAGTAATCATTTTAAACAGTGTAAAGCGATTTGTTAAAAATCATAAATGTGTTTAAAAAATAATTACGCTAAATGGTAAGAGAGTTCATGATGTTCATAACATTAAAACTAAAATATTATAATGTAAATGCATTAGTCGCACACATACACGATAAAAATTTCACGTAAAAACTCTTTAATCGACGGGAATAACAATTTTGACATTATTTGTAAACTAGTACAATTACTGTTGTGTTTGAACAAAACAAACTAGTTATTTTAATTGATATTGTACCAATCGAGTAAAGGTTTTCTATTGTTGCACTACAATTAGTATATTTTAAAATCCGTAGCCATGTTGGCGACGTTGATCGTTTATCATTAAGTACACAATTATAATTCATCTCGGTCAAAAAACTCAAAAGTTTACCTATATTTATCACCGTTTAAAAATGTTGTTGGCGCGGCTCTGAATTGATCTATATCTAGTTTTAAGTAATAACAATACAAATGGTTAAATTAAAAACACAACTAATTCGAACGACAATTGACAACTCGATTTTGTCACGGGAAAATTAAACCAAACGAGTTAAACCGCACAGAGGCGAAAAACATATAGAAGTTCACACAACAAACAAACCAAACGAGTTGTTGTTTTCGGTTTGTGAGTACCGCGCGCAACGTACTGCTCACTCCACAATCGAAATGCGTCTGGCTGTTATCATTAATGTTAAATGAACAAAATAATTTTTAATTATATCATTGAGTAATCGAAAAGGAACAACTTAATCTGAAATTAAATTTAGCTAGCTAAGAACGTTGATTCTAGCAACGGCGATACTGTTGTAAAAATAAATTGTTCCATATTCTTTTTAGAAGAGGTCAATCATTTTTCATCCGAATCATCATCAACCGTATTATGTTTTTTTTTTTTGTATACATTATTTTTTTCAGTGTGGAGCTGTTGATTTCATACGCGATGCAAATGCTTGCACAGTTTTTTTATTAGCTGAGCGCATGTGTTTGTAAACGTGTAAAAAAAGGCACATGATAAACATCATTTAATGTAAACATAACGCTATCGGCGAAATTCGTTTACATCTTTCGTTTTCATGCGTCATAATAAAAAAAAAAATAATTATTGAACAATTAACGAAAAAATATTCGCATCGAATAATAATGGTGAGGAAATTTCATGTTGTGTTTTATTGCTGACATAATACCTCATTAAGACAATATTCTTGAACAATTAAATCGCATAGAAGTTTTAAACATTTTTTATTAACTCGAGTCGTTCCAAAGTACTTAATAATCACAATTAGTTCTGTCGCCGTGCAAGGTGTTTAAAATCTGTGGGCATTTTTTGGCTCATAATTTGTTACATTTGCAGTGATAATCGACTTGCCGACGCCAACAAATCGCTCGTGAGCCAGACATTTCCAGCATAGTTTTTTTGTTGATATAAACCAGTAATAAAACATTTTTTAAGCGCTGATCATTGTTAATATTGGGCAATGTTACGGAATAACGCAAAAGCAGTTTTTTCGTAACATTTTGACTCATTAAGTAGGTTGAGGGACATCAATATCGACCCCGGAGACTGTCCAAACGACAGGATAACAGTTATTTTTTGCTTATCATTTTCTGAATATTGTTATATAATAACAAAAAAAGTGTACAATACCTTCCTATTTGTTGTTACTGCAACACAATAGATATTGTTGAACTCATTTTTTATGTAATTTGGAGTTTTCACTTTCATTTAAGTAGTCTAATTAAATCAAAAAACGACTGCAAGGACGTGTATAATAAATTGTGTTCATGGTGATTTTTTTTCCTGTAACCTCTCCGCTCATAATTTTTGCAAAATATATCGGCGGGGCAGTTGCTTTTGACGAATTGTGTAACTATTTGAATTTCAAAACGGATTAAGTTTGACACCGCAATGAAAATTACTAATTTTATGAAGTCGAAATCTCGATAAAATACAATTAATTATCTCTCAGTCTACACTATAATGATAAAACAATTTATCTCGATCGAATCATTGAACCAAAATTTACATTAATATTTGTCTGTAATCTTTTAAACTCCGACAGTACAAAACTTATAAAATGTAATTATTCTGCAAAAGAACTTCAGGATTATTTTACTTTTGTTACAGAAAAATGACAATTTTCACATTTCACTCTTATCGAATGATTTAAATGAGTATGTTAATCAGATTGATTGTCTCAACTAATTATGTGAAGCAATAGGTACTTTATTATAATAAAATATATACACAATAATTTTGGATGATTTGAATAACCTCAAAAATACGTTGCATATGGTTGTCAAAATCCAAGTTCTGTACGATGGAACTACGCAGTCTTTTGCTTACACATGTGATATGTCATATTAAATTTAGTAACTATTTGTATAATAACTCTTATAATAATGTATTCTTAGCTGAATGACATAATGACTGTAAAAGATCTACATAACTCAAAACAGTTTTCGAGTACTTTAAATGCACATGGTCCTATAATTGTAAGAAGTTACTGTAGAACAACAACAAAACATGAATAATAATAATAATTATAATATTATTCTAATTATTTCAAAACTATTTACATAAAATAATATGCATTTTCAGTTATCTAAATTAAAACAACTTTTTGTTTTTCTATGTCAACACCAAAGTTTTAGTAAATGCACATGTTGTAAAATGTACAAATGTGTAAATGATAAAATCACTAAAAAAAAAATTACATAAAATCTGTAAATATTAGAAAGAATTAAAGTTTATGTCTTTACTATTTTCCACGCAGACTATTTCATATAGTATGTTGGAAAACATGATAACTATTTTGCGTATTATTACCAGATATTCTTTAATGATGATTATATGCCCAATTTAAACGTGATGTTTGAAAAATCTAACTTGATTTCTCCCTACTTAGAAAATACTTTTATATATATTTATATGTAAATTTTTAATTATTCGAGATGGGGTTCGTTTGAGGAGCTTATGATGATAATATTTTTTATATTTATTACTTCCATAATCAGCCAATCGAAAACATAAAAAACGAAACACACGAAATTAAAATACTAGAGTAATGGAAATATAATAAAAATAATTTTTAAAATTACAAACTACATTATAAAACTGAAAATAAATGAAAATAAACAATTTTTTTATGAGTTTTGATTACATTAAAACCATTGTAGTATTTGTGTATGCCAACAAAAATTAAATTTAGCAAATTAAAAATTGTTTCATCATATTTAGGTCACATAACATCATAATATGAAAATTTTCACAAGAAAAATTAGTATAATTTTACAGCTATTCTAAAAATAAAAAACGTCTACAAACCCAATTATACATAGAAACTGAAAAGATATTATTTAAATCTAAGTGATATGAATAAGTACAATGGGTTTTATTTAAAATTAATTAGAAATTCATGAAAATTAAACGCAAAACATATACATGAACTTTTCTATACATTAATGAGAAAATATAACATTTATACATAAATGTAGCACATAACGTATTCAACAATAACTATTGATTTAATAACAAAAAAAATCATCTAATATACTAAATTTATTTTCGATATAACGAATTTATACAGTCAATTTTAATGTTAATGGTCTTTAAATCCACTTTGGGTATGAAATTATGTAAAAATAAATAAAATTATTCAGAAAATATTTTAAAGCGTAGTATCTAATAATAAACGGATTACAATTTTATCATTTTATAGATGATTTATGAGATAATCAATGTTTCACCGTATGCTTTTTCAATAACCGTGGAAAATTCCGTTCATCAAAATATTCCACACCTCCTCAACTATGTTTTAAATTACATATTATTAATAAAGTTATTATTGTTTTTTTGTTTTTTTAAGTAAACATAAATAAATAAACTTAGTTGAATATTTAATATTCACCATTATAATTAAATTACTTTATTTACAAAATTAATTGTTTAATATTATCTAAATAAAAATTATTTGAGGTAACAACAAAAAAACTAATTAAAAATAAATTTTAAGTCGGCAATATTTTGACTATCTTATACAATTATTTACTACGACATTGAAATATATTTTATTATAATCAAAAATAAACTTTAAATTATTGTGTTAAAATTATTCATGAAAGAATTTTAATATCTAAGGTTATTTTTGTTGTAATTTTAACGGTCTATAGTAATTTGCTTGCAGATAAACGAAGAGTCATTATCAAGTTTAAAAACTAGTGGTGTATTTGTGTCCGTATTTCCGGATTAATATAGTCTCGTACGCAGTCATAGTAGTATGACACAACATAAAAAATTAATTTGATGATTTTCTAAAATAAATGTCATGTTTATTTAACTTTTTATAGTATGGGTATTTAATAAAATATGTTCTAAAAAACACTCTGGAGTATTAAATTTTACAAAATTTATTATTTGTAAAATAATAAAAGTGTACTATATATTAACGATAATACAATTTATTAAATAAAAATTATTCGAAAAAATGAAAACCTTGGAAAAAATATTATCAGTGTTAATATTTAATTCACAATTGTAAAAACTAAGACTTGTTATTCGAATAGATTTATGACGAACAGCAAAATAAATCTAATATAAAAACTATTCAAATGCGATCGAAGCATAAATCTTCAGGCCAGTGATTTTACACATAGAATATTTTTAGTGATTCGATCAATTTGTTATATATTTGCATCAATAATATCTAACAATAGGTATAGAAAATTTGTCGAGTCTAAATTTTTAATTCCAATTTTGATTATAGTAGAATGAATAAATGACTTTAATTTTAAATGATAAATACTTATATGATTAAAAGAAATTATTATTGCCCTCCCATAGTCCTAACATTTAGATATAATTGATTTGAAGTAACGTAAAATTTGCGTCATAGATTCCAATTGATAAATGTATCCTGACAAGTAACTTATATAAAAGTAGTTATTATGTTTAGTCCTATTTAAGTCCANTTAAATTTTACAAAATTTATTATTTATAAAATAATAAAAGTGTATTATATATTAACGATAATACAATTTATTAAATAAAAATTATTCGAAAAAATGTAAACCTTGGAAAAAATATTATCAGTGTTAATATTTAATGCACAATTGTAAAAACTAAGACTTGTTATTCAAATAGATTTATGACGAACAACAAAATAAATCTAATATAAAAACTATTCAAATGCGATCGAAGCATAAATCTTCAGGCCAGTGATTTTACACATAGAATATTTTTAGTGATTCGATCAATTTGTTATATATTTGCATCAATAATATCTAACAATAGGTATAGAAAATTTGTCGAGTCTAAATTTTTAATTCCAATTTTGATTATAGTAGAATGAATAAATGACTTTAATTTTAAATGATAAATACTTATATGATTAAAAGAAATTATTATTGCCCTCCCATAGTCCTAACATTTAGATATAATTGATTTGAAGTAACGTAAAATTTGCGTCATAGATTCCAATTGATAAATGTATCCTGACAAGTAACTTATATAAAAGTAGTTATTATGTTTAGTCCTATTTAAGTCTACAATTGTATATATTTTCACATCAATATTATTCATAAATAATTTTAACAAGTATTCCAGTATATATATGTATATCATTCAATCATTTACGTATGTAATTATACTAACTATATTTTTAGTAGTAAATACGCCAAAAATAAAAATAATAATTATTAGTGTCAAACTTGATACTATGCATAAATTGTTCATAAATGTAATGGAAGGTATTATATAGAAATTCCTCGCTTGGTAGTTATTTTACTATTATATAATTTATTGTTTAACATTGACATCTGAAACCAAGTTCACGGACATTACAAAACAAAATAATGCTGACTTGGAATATTATAAGACGATGATTCCTTCATTCTAATTTAATTACACAAATAATGTCAAACAATATTATCTATTTAAAACGTATTTCATCTGCATTATATATTTGTATATAAATTAATAAACATCGAATAGTCAATGTAAATTCACGATAAAAAGAATCACAAAATTGTCAAACATGACGAATAATTCCAAGCCAATATCTTATTTACATCAAATTATCTGAAGA